TATAATACATTAATTAATCAAAAGTATCTTAATGTTAACTAAACATATTTTGCCCTCCATAAGATGACGAATATGACGTCAAGTCGGGCACCGCTTCCTAGTTGTTGTTCCATCATGAGCTGGCGTTAGTTTGCATTTGCACAGAAACTCCATTCCCATGTGTCCGACGCCACATGAATGCACCATTTGTCCTCTGACTGTTTAGTGTTTTCTGTTTTATTTTGTAAGTTCCTGTTTTCTTGTGTGTCTTGCCCTCTTTTGCTGCCTTTGTGTGTTTCCCTGAACATCTATGGTTTCCCTCCTGTTTGATTGTCTGCCACACCCTCATTCGTTTCACCTGTTGTTCCCTTCACACACACACACACACACACACACACACACACACACACACACACACACACACCAGTTCATTGTCTGAGTTTTTGCAGTAGGTTTCTTTCTGTTTGTTCTGGTTTTGGTACCTGGATCTTTTCTGGATTTTTGCCTTCCTCTCTGCTTCTCCAAGATTTTGTTCAATGTTCTTTTTTTGTCATTTAAATATCTTTTGTGTGCTGGATCAGGCTGCCCGCCCTTATTTCTGTGGGTCCAGTTGCCCTGCTCGCCTACAGCTTGTGACAGAATTGATAAATTAAATACACTGAAATACTGATGAAATAACACGGAGCTTCTTTATCTTAGGACTGGCTTAATTTGTTGTCACGGTAACACTTGATTGGACCAATACAATCAAAGCAATTATCCTGTAATATGTATTTATAGCAAAGCAATAAATGTTCTTAACGGTGACGTTGAAAGGTTTTAGCGACCATAAGAAATCAGTTTGCAAGGAGTTATAAAATACAGGTTGAACTGAAACATTTTTACATTGAGTCAATGTCAAATACTTTGTGTGATCGATCCCTTTACATTTTCCAGGATGATCAAACTATAACGTTTTCATGTGGATATAATCATCTTGTGTTGATAGACAATGGATTAATGCAACTCTATAATCAGCTGTTTTACCTTTGTTTCAGAACAGAAATATGGAAGAAGGTCGCAGATTTGTTTTAGAATAAGAATTCATCAGTTTTAGGACAAGACATCACTTAATTTTTCGCTAGAATCAAGCTTCAATGTTAAGAAGAAGAAGAAGAAGAAGAAGAAGATATCCTTTGATAATCCCATGAGGGGAAACTACTTTTACACTCTGTTACTGAGACATGCTACACACACAGACTGAAACACACACACATGCACTCACAGGATCCTATGTACATGCACTAATGGAGAGATGTCAGAGTGAGGGGGGCTGCCCATTAAAGACCACCCGAGTACAGTTGGAGTTAGTACCAAGTGGCAACCTCCGGTGTTGAAAATTGAAGCTAATGCGGAAGTGCAATTCCTGCAGTTTGTCGAGTGTATGCTTGAGGCTGGCTGCAGGAACACTGGAAGTCACATACACATACAACAGACAAAAATAGCTGTTTTTACAGCATAAATGAACATGTTTACAGCCTGGTACAAAAAAACAAACCGGTCTGATTAGTTATTGACATTACTGGCACACACTTAATCTATAGTTAGGCATGTATAGCTGACATGATTGACATGTGGGCACGATGTAGCCGTTTATCAGGAGGCTTCAAACCCGCCTCAGCTCCAGCTCTCAGTCTGTCGTTAGTTTGACTGAAAGTTAGACTGAGACAGGATTCCCAGCATGGTGGCTGCTGCAGATGGATGATGTCACTCAGACGTCGTCCATTTAAATTTACAGTTTATAGTTAGTTCTCAGGAAGTGATCTGGCACCTCTCCAGCTACCAGACCACTTTCCAGACCCTGTCTGTACCGGGACTTGAACCTGCGACTCTCTGGTTCACAAACAAAGTCCCTACAAACTGAGCTTCTGCCGCCCAACTGAGGATGAAATCCATGTTTCTTGATACCCTGTCATGTGTTGAAAGAGAGATAGCAGCTGTTTTTTGTGTTTATGTGTAATTTATTAGAAGTCTATCTCCCCACTATAAAGCTTTTATTTAATCCGTCATCATTCTAGTACGTCTAAAGTCATCATACGATCTCTTTCTTGTCGCCTTTACTGATATTAACTACTGACCTCAAATGGCATCTTCTCTGTCTTTCAAAGTAATCATTTTTAAACCAACATATGTGCAGATAAATATCGTCTTCCCTCCTTTGCAGACCAGAAATAAAGGATACCTCCTGTGGTCTACATTCTCTCACAGCTCCCTCTCTCTCTCTCCCTCTCTCTCGCTATCCTTTCAGGAAAACAAAACTAGAATGACTTTGTCCTGGAAATCATCATGGCCTACACTTTACTGCATCTTCTCATTACTCTGTGCATCTGGAGGTAAGAGTTCATGTGTCTTTTAATTATATATTATAATAAATAAGCTCACTGGGCACACATTAGAAGAACAAGTACAAGCGCCATTTTCTTTCCACCAAAGTGTTCAATGTAATGTTTTCATCTTGTTTTATATTTTGAGAGCTTTGTTAAAGTAAAACCTTTGGAGGTAAACGGAGCAGGAATAGGGTTAGAATAAAATATATAATTGGATTAACTTATCACAGCTTCTGAAAATATATGTCATACCTAGCAATGGTTCTCAACACGCCTCCTCGATGAGATCACATTTTCTGTCTCTTCCTCGCTCTGAGTTGCTCTGAGAAAGTTCCTTAATCACTCCTAGGCAAAAAGTCCTTGCTATGATGTTTAAAGCTAAGTGAGGATCTTTCTTAGAGGGTTCTGTGAATGTCTGTGAATATGGACCCTGCATGGTGTGAGTGACAACAAATTGAAGTTCAGTATAATGTTTGAAATGTTAACTTCCTTGAGCAACAACAAATCTGGACTGAACCTTTATAGTCACATCTTATACAATCTGATGCTATTTTAACTGATTTTTAAAAGGTCTTGAGTATCACCATCAGAACCTGCAGAGGAGTAAACACAGCAGAGTTGATCTCAGCTGTTATCATCAGTGGTGTAGTCTGAAAAAGTGGATATAGTTTGTTATTTTTCCCCTTCATATCACAGGCAAGTCAGACTCCAGTCCACACATTTCCAATCATTACCTGTACCTGACATGTGAGCACTTTTCATGGACAATCTCCTAACATTATTTAGATATTCATGTCACTCTTGAACTGGGATTTTAACGCTGTTTTTAACGTTCTGTCTTTTGAGCGTGATGTGATTTGACTGGGATGAGAGGATTTCTGAGCTTGTAATGCAAGACACATTTCCGTGCAAACGAGCAATAAAGTGTTATCTTAATCTTAATCTTAACATATTTATTGAAGTGTCCTGTCCAGTACAGATGTCCTCTGACATGTAAAACTCTTGCATATTGAGTTTGTACTCACCAATTACAGACAGAGTATAGGAAGATCCCTTCATCATCTTGGGAAAATTGCATCATACTGAATATTGTCAGTCAAGCAATGATGTGAATCAGAGGAGATTTAGAAGTGGGTATACCCTATAGAGACCTGAAAATAAGAGGGTATACCTGTGTATACCCTTCACTACACCATTGATTATCATCCCCCCATAATACAAGTGTAATCCTTCAGTCTCACCTGTAGTAAACAGCCCTGATTAGTTCACACACAAGAAACTTCTCTGTTCTCCTTCTTTAAAGATGCAACGACAGTCTGAGAACATCTAAAGAAAACATTCAAGTGTTTCTACTCATGCTCTTTGAATGTGTGTCTGTGTGAAGGATCGGTGCAGATGAATGTGTGTTTGAGTTTCAGTCAAACCAACAAAACAAAACAAACGTCCTTTAATGTTTACGCTCCTTCTGCAAACTCCAACATGTGTCCACACTGATTTGCACAAAGAGCGGTATGTGTTTCTTCCTCTTTGTCCTGAAGTTCAGACAAAGTTGACTCCCTGATTTATTAAGTCACTGACACTTTTTTTAAACTTCACAGTTCGTTCCCCTGCTTGACAAAATGATGTTGTTGTTTCCTTTCCGACGTGAACTGAACACCTGCAATATGCTGCCTATCACAGAAACTTTTGGTAGCATACTGAAATGCCCCTTAGGATGCACTGAAAAACTTTTTTCACCATCAAGATTCAATACAGTCATTGTGTATCAAGGCAAGGCAAGGCAAGTTTATTTATATAGCACATTTCAACAACAAGGCAAGCGCTATGAAAGAAGTGGAAGAAGCTGCTGTGACACCACCTGCTGGTTCCTTGAATACTTTGAATAAGCATGTAAGATAAACTGTTTCCTGCAGAATGGAAAGAGCCACGAGAGTTCGAGGACCAAAGTGGACACTCCTGTCACCCAACAGCTAGTGACTGAAATGAACGGGACAATTAGAACAGTCTGCTGTCTTCTCTATGATGGAGAAGCCGGGACATTTCATCACTCCAAACCACATAGAAAATTTCATCTAACCTCACTAAATCTTATTCTTTACTTTTATGCTAGGCAGAGTTTATTTCATTAAAAAAAAAAAAAAAAAGTTCCTTTTCTTTGTTTTGTGTGGCATAGTCCATGTCCAAAAGTAAAAGAAAAATTAGTCATCCAAAAGTTGGAAGACTTTAACAGCACTTCCAGGCAGGGTTGGTAACTTTCTCCAGATTCAATTTTTTAAGATTTTGGTTTAAGTTGTCTTTAGGTCCTGACAGAAATTAATAACTCAGGTGATCTGAAAAGGGAATGAAGGAAATCAGTTGTAAGTCTGTAAAAACTTTAACCAATGTCTGCCATGAGGTACCAATCTGATGAACCAATCACACGCCTCCAAATTTAATAGACCACACATTTAATTTTGTAACCCCATCTCTAAATCCTGTCTGCCGTGTTTCCTCTCTCAGATTCAGCGGGTCCAGATCAGTTCCAGCTGCAGCCACTAAACTCCACGGTGCTGAAAGCCTCTGACGTGAGTTTCAACGCCACCGTGCAGGGAAACTGGCAGATCATGACCTGGACAGTCAGAGGTCTGCTGGTCCTCGTGGTCCCCTTCAGTGACCCAAGCTGTGTGGAGTTCACCATGAGGAACGTCAGCCGGGGAGACGCTGGGCCCGTGGTCTGCGCTGTGCAGGGGGCGTACGGGTCAAAGACTGCACAGCTTCAGGTGCAAGGTGAGGTACTCAAAGCGACAGTGTGTAACCCAACACAGCATCTCTCCCATATCCACAGCTCGGCCTGACCGCCTGTTTACTGCAATATGTAACTTTGGCAGAAGGGCGAGGTCAACTCAAGAGAAGTGCTAACAGCTCTAGTTCACACAGCAGCCTTCAGTTATTAAAAAAGCCAGATAGCCCATCTCTGTACTGTTTGATACAATAGAGCTCAACAGTGACCGCCCTCTTTTTGCTGTTTACTGCAATATGTAACTTTGGCAGAAGGGCGAGGTCAACTCAAGAGAAGTGCTAACAGCTCTAGTTCACACAGCAGCCTTCAGTTATTAAAAGAGCCAGATAGCCCATCTCTGTACTGTTTGATACAATAGAGCTCAACAGTGACCGCCCTCTTTTTTGATGGCTCTAGTTCCGGAAGTAAATTTCCCCATTTCATCCCCCGGTCAGGCCTTCTGGTGAAACTCAGAACACAGCCACACAAGCCTCCTCTGCCCAGTATGTTCCTCACAAACGCGAGATCAATGGCTCACAAGATGGACGAGCTGGAACTACAAATGGCTGGGAATCGATATGTTCGTAACTGCTGTGTTATGATTATAACTGAGACCTGCTTCACACCCGCGGATCCCGACGCTGCGTACAGATAGCAGGCCGCACTCTCCACCGCTGGACAGAAACAAGACTCCGGTAAGAGCAGAGGAGGGGGTTTTGCATTTACGTACAGAACGACTGGTCCAACAATAGCATAATTAGATAAATACGTTCCCCGGACATTGAATTCAGTCAGTTAATGCAGACATTTTTCTTACCAGAGAGCTACAGTAGTGATAGTTACTGCTATATATACTTCCTGATGCTAATGTTAGCACAGCTCTCTCCACCTGCTAAATACAGTAAACACACAGCTGCGTGCTCACCGATGGAGTTCACATTATAGCTGGGATTTTAATCAGGCAAACCTTAAGACGGTTCTCCCGAATTCTTTCAGCACGTTAAGTGTCAAGGGATGCAAACACACTTGATATGTTTATCTAACATAAAGCATGCATACAGAGCCATACCTCTCCTCACCTAGGCAGTCAGACCATCTCTCTGCTCCTTACCCAGCATACACCTTCTCAGGAGGAGAACTACACCCTTACAAAGACTGTTACAACTTGGCCTGAGGATGCACTTTCTCAGCTACAGGACTGCTTGCTAACACCCAGTGGGATGTATTTGCATCAGGACTGGCAGAACACACAGAGACAGTACTGACCTACTCAAGTCTGCTAAAATGTCACTGTGAAAAAAGCATCCGGGTTTTTTCCAACCAGAAACCTGGATGACAGCCAGGTCGAATGCTGCTTAGAAACACGACTCTGCCTTCAGGTCAGGTGATAGGCGCTGTACAGTGCTTCTAGAGCCGACCTGAAGAGAGGATCAAGGATGCTAAGTCGGCCTACAGGAGGAGGATAGAGGACCACTCTTGACACACCCACAACAGGTGTGGCAAGGCATACAACAAATCACAAACTTCAGGGGCTGCAACATCAGACCTGGAACTCAGACGCCTCGCTGGCAGAAGCTGAACTGCTTCTTCGCAAGGTTTGAGAAACTGAGCTCCACACAGCACACCACCTCACCTCCAGCACATAGACCATCACACTCACTGTACAGGAGCACGAAGTGAGACGGGTGCTAAGAGCAGTAAACCCAGGAAGGCAGCTCGCCCAGACGGAGTACCAGGGAAGGTGCTCAAAGCCTGTGCAGACCAGCTCTCACAAGTCTTCACCTGCATCTTCAACCTCTCCCTGTCACAAGCCACCATTCCATCCTGCCTGAAATCAGCCACAATCATACCCGTGCCCAAGAAATTAACCACGGACAGCCTCAACGACTACCGTCCAGTTGCTCTAACACCGGTCATCATGAAGTGCTTTGAGAGGCTGGTTTTACACCACATCAAAGCCAGCCTTCCTCAGACCTTCGACCCACACCAGTTTGCGTATAGAGCAAACAGATCCACAGAGGACGCCATAGCCATAGCTCTCCACACTGCGCTGAGCCACCTGGAACACCAGGGGAGCTATGTAAGGCTACTTTTCATCGACTACAGCTCAGCCTTCAACACAATTATCCCGGACATTCTGGTTAAAAAACTGTCGGACTTAGGCCTCCACTCACACACCTGTTCATGGATAAAAGACTTCCTCACAAACCGTCCCCAGACTGTTAAACTTGGCCCCCACGTCTCCTCCACCCGCACACTCAGAACCGGCTCTCCACAGGGGTGTGTGCTGAGCCCACTACTGTACTCCCTCTACACATACGACTGTAGCCCACCCCACCCCGGTAACACCATCGTCAAGTTCGCAGACGATACCACTGTGGTTGGACTAATCTCAGGGGGAGACGAGTCTGCATACAGGGATGAGATCCTAAAGTTGACAACGTGGTGTTCAGTGAACAACCTGGCACTGAACACCACAAAAACAAAGGAAATCATCTTCGACTTCAGGAAGCACCGCGCAGACCCAGGTCCCCTCCACATCAACAGTGTCTGTGTAGAGAGGGTCCAAACCTTCAAGTTCCTGGGCACCCTCATCTCTGCTGACCTCTCCTGGACTCCCAACATCTCTGAGATCACCAAGAAGGCACAGCAGCGCCTGCACTTCCTGAGAGTGCTCAGGAAGAACAACCTGAATGAGAAGCTGCTGGTGAACTTCTACCGCTCTTCCATCGAGAGCCTGCTACTGTACTGCATCACAGTGTGGTACGCCAGCTGCACTGAAGCAGGCAGAAAGGGGCTTCAGAGAGTAATAAACACCTCACAAAAGATCATCGGCTGCACACTCCCTTCACTTAAGGACATTTATAACTCCCGCTGCCTGAACAGAGCAAAAAACGTTGTAAAGGACAGCTCACACCCCGGCTTTCATCTGTTCGACATGTTGCCCTCTGGCAGATGCTACAGGTCTGTCAGAGCACGGACAAACAGACTCAAGGACAGCTTCTTCCCCAGAGCCATAACCACACTGAACCTGGACATGCGTTGACCGTCCCACCCTCACCACACATACTGTGCAACATTTATTTTATATTTCTGCAATATCTTACATTTCATACTATGCAATATTTATCTTATTTTATATTTCTGCAATAATTTTACATTTCATACTGTGCAGTATTTATTTTATATTTCTGCAATATCTATTTATATTCTGTTATGCTACCACCTGTAAATAACTCCTACCATACATTACCCATCTTACCTGAATGAGAGTTCCTTTTTTGTTATTTCTTCTTTTGTTGTTTTTAGCTGTGGATGCTTGTATGTGTGTGCACTTTAAGGTGAAGCCAAATAATTTCGTTGTACAACTGTATAATGACAATAAAGACATTCTATTAATTCTATTCTCCATTGATTTTTCACAAAATCCTTATATAAAGAGATTGGCGCCTGAAACCAAGACAGCCAGCTACCCCAATACTTGTGACTATAGTACATTTAATTCGGCAGGAAACATTGCCATGGTAACAGCATTTCAACCAGTCTCTGTGGCACTATAGGATCGTGGGTAGTGTAGTTCTTTGCCCCGATGTCGCAAATAAATCTTGTTTTTTTTAAACGAGGTTGATATCATACGAACTTGTGTCTCCTACAGGAACATAAACCATAGTTTTATGCTTGGGTGGCTCGTAGTAATTCTACCTTGGATGGTTATGACATTATGGCTAATAATCAAATCCACTATGGAGAAAATAAATGGGATTTTCACTTCCGGCACCATACTATAGCCCTATAGCTGAGGCTAGAAACAGGATTTAAAAATGAATAAAAAAATAATAGAGAACAAATGAAATAAATAAAACAGAACAATGAGACATAAATATAGACTTTATGTGGTGATCTGATCAGACTGTGGTCTGACTCGTACGGTGTGGTGATTACTTTCTAAAGGTTTGCCTGGGAGATTATTTATTTTATTCCGACAATGAAGGGCATTTTGAAGAAGCACGAATGACAGATGAAAACTGTAAGGAGTACCTCATATGATCAACACAAGCCGAGGGCGTGTGTTAAGTACGAGGTCAAAGGGGCTGGTTTGAATCGCCTTTTGGGATCTATACGTCCACCATCCTTACATTCAATAAGCTTTATGAAGCTGTGAGGGAGCTGTAGTGACTGGGATGGACTCTAGAGGGCAGCGGTATACTTCATGCTCTCTCTCTCTCTCTCTCTCTCTCTCTCCCTCTCTCTCTCCCCCACACACACATACAGAGTACAGAGGGATGCAGACATGATTGCTTACCTGTCATCCACTGCTGGTGTCATGATTGTAGATGGCTCATTATCTCCCACTCACCTTTAAAGAGGAGCTGCTGTTAATGGAGAACTATGTTCATTTCAGTCAACTTAAAGTGATTTCCATCCACGCTGGCACTAGATGTAGATATGTGCAGGAGCACTACTTAATGAGGCAGCCTCTGTGTGTGGGTGTAATAACGTCTATCTCAGACTATAACTACCTTCTGCTCTAATAACTGAAGGGAGAACGTGTTTCTGATGTGAGTTATAAAAAACGTTCACAGCCGGCATCACAGAGCACAAACTCAAAGAAAAGAACAAACAGGACATCAGAGCAGTAATGATTACATCGTTAAGGAAACAGGCAGACACAGAAATCTTTCACAGGAAGAGTCAGCGTGGAGTCTTAATAACTTCATCTTTTTTGTTTAAAGCTGACAAAACTCAGTATTTACTACATGACAGATGGCTATACAGACAAATATATATATATATATATATATATATATATATATATATATATATATACATACAGACAGACAGACAGACAGACAGACAGACAGAAATACACTTTGTAACTTTGTTTACCTGTTTACCACCAACCTGCCAAGGGCCTACAGATGGAAATTATCCTATGGCTATAATTTACATGTTTAAGTTTATTAATGTGCACTGTCCATATTTTAAATAAATAAATAGATATAAAGACAGACAGATTTAAGTTACTATATTGCAGGCCGACCTCCAAGAGGTTGTTGCAGTCATTTTTTAAAAGTCAAAATAAGATCAACCTGTAAACTGATGAAAGAAGGTAGGAAAGAAATGCCTCCATATAGCAACCTGTTAGCTCGTATTGCTAACCAAACGGAGGTTTTGATAAATGCAGGTAACCTACACAATATCACACCTAAGAGCAGCTCTGGTGAAAGCTGTCTTCTTTTTCTGCTCTGTTCCTTTTTGTAAATCTCCAACAAAAGATCAGCAGTGAACAAATCTCAAAAAGTAGTAGCAGCGCTATAGTCCTGTTACCCTGCAGGATACACTGTCTGTAAAATCGTACAGGCTGTGACTTCATGTCTTTTTTACCTCGGAGCATCATACTTTGCCCTGTAGAAGTCCGGTTCCCAAAGTCTTTTCAAAGTCTCCTAGTGTAAATCAGGCATAACTTGTTGTGTCATGAATATGTATTATATGGCTGCAGGGATGTTGACTGTTTTGCTAACAGCAGCTTATATAAATGCAGAAGAAGTGGGACATGTTTTTGACATCAGAAAGCTCAGAAATGGAGATGTGGAGCCTCAGAGAAAATCTCTGACATGAATTTTTGGATTAAAGTTACTCCCCCCTGAAAAATAGAAAACAAGAAATATTTAGTCAGAAGCAGCAGGAGGAACAGGGAGGCGGGCATTTAGCTCATCCCAACTTCTCTGTGAGGCTGTTTGTTTTTCCAATCAACCAGCCTCAAACCAAGACTTAAACACAAGTATAAAGTAAATTAAACAAAACACTCCATATCAGCCTCCTCCTCTCCAGGAACAAACAGCTCATCTCGACTGTAACCAGAAGCTAATCTCACGGTGCAACATCTGGCCTGCAGTCTCTGTGATTGTTATTGATTATTAGAGTGTTGGAGCTCTATCTCAAGCTGTAGATTAGGACCTCCATGATTACAGACATACTCTCCTTACATGAAGCAAACCTGCAGCCAAAGCGATAAATCCAGATAATAGACCTGCCAGGTGAGCTCATTGATTCCTTTCTGCCGGGGGGATGTTAATAGGAGACACTGACGGGGCGCTGCTTTAGCTCAGTGGTTTGAACATGGGTCCAGTAAACAGAAGCTTGACCCTTTGCAGCATGTCATCCCAAACTCTCATCTCCCAATATTTGCTGTTTCACTTCAGCTGGCCTATCGATAACAAGACACAAAAACAAGCCAATAACAATATTTTTAAAAGAACACTGACAGTCCGATAGCACAAGTTTTTTAATGATATTGCTGCAGTGTTTAAAACACCTGCAGGGAACTTTTGTCTTGTATTGATTTTCGTGTCCCCAGTATCTCTCACCTCGATCTCGCCAAGGGCCTGGTGTTCAAGGTTTAATCTGGAGAGGAATGCAACAGAAACTGGAATCCACTTTTTTGATATTCAGGATGACGTAATCCAGTTTTGGTCTCTCCCCCCCCCCCAAAAGAACTGGATGATCAACCTGATCCAGACATTAAAAAAAGATCAAATTCAGGTTACCATATAGTGCTCTAAATGGGACTTCATACTGCAGCTTGTCCACAGGGGGCGCCAAATTCCACACTAACTGAAAGTTTGCGACAATTACTTTAAATGTTCATTAAATGTTTTTTATTCGGTGAATATCCACGTCATTTAGATATTTTACAAAATTAAATAAAATAAAAATATTTGCTTGTTTGACCACTTTAAAAGTAAATTTATATTAACTCAGACAACTCACGTTTAAAATATTTATTGCAGCAGAACATCCACAAAATTATTCAAATTAAGAGCAGATTGATGGTCAGCCTTGTCAAACCCTCATTGGTCCACAAGTGGACAAAAGCAGATTTGCAGTGGTCAATAATGTCCTCACATTTCAATCAAAATGATTTCAATTACAGTTTCAAAAAGTTCCCAGATTGGAGCACAACTCCAGATTTTTGTAGTCCTGCAGTTAAAAAAGAATACAATAAAACAAGTTTAATTACCCAAAAAGGACATCCATCATAACATTATAGATTTAATTTCAGCTCACACAAAACAAACTCTGTCCTGTCTTTATCTTTCAGAGAATGGTTCAGTCAGCGTCACAGCAGGAAACCTGAAGGTGATGCAGGACGAGCAGGTGGAGTTCCAGTGTGATACAGCTTCTTGGTTTCCTTCACCAACTGTCAGCTGGGCTCTAAATGATCACCTTGTGGACAGCAGCCTTTACAACACCACCAGCATGGCTGATGGGGATTCTTTTAACTCCACCAGTGTCCTCAAGTTTCAGGCTGTCAGAAACACCACAGTGGAGTGTCGGGCGACCCTGGAGACGCTGACAAAACCACAAAGCAGCTCAGTATTCTTAGTGGTTGGTAAGAAGATCTTCATGACTTGTTCCTCTCATTGAACAGCTTCCCAGTGCTCTTTAGTGAAAAACAAATAGTCGGTATGTTGTTTAGTTATTTGCAATAACGAGTAGGATATGACACTCTGTTTTTATTGTTGGTCATGGGGGGGGCGATGTCAATAAGATCTACTGTGATTGGACGTCTTCCTGCATCACTCAGTGCTCAGGGGCCCGATTCAGATCTCCACCCTTAAGCATCAGTACTGAACTCTCACATGGTGTCAGGTGTGCAGTGAACGAGTGTGTGAGTCTGAGAGGGCTTGAGATACTCTAGAACCAGGACACACTGCAGTAACAGATTTTTTTTCCTTAATTTATTGAATACTGCTTCAATTCAAACAGTTGTTTAAATTTAGTGAGAGGGCTGGATGATCACGCCCTTCAGTGGGGAAACCTCCCACTCTCAATGCCCTGCTAACTGTTGCATGCATTATTGCTGGTTGGAGGGGCCCCAAATGAATGTTTGCCTAGGGCCCCAGCAGACCCAAGAAGTGCTCTGCTGACAGAGGATGGTGTGATTCCTTTAACACATCTCTAATACATTACATTTCTCCATGTCTTATAAATGTCTGAGAATCCACAAATAGACCCTCTCACATCTGATATTAACATATGACCCGTGTTACTGTGGGATAACCTGATAACAGAGAGGCTCTAATTAAATCAGAATCCCATTTAACACACACGGTGGAGAGATTAGATTAACAGTGCACAGTTTCAGCCAGCTGCATGTGTGCTGACTATAGCATGGATAACACGCGGCCCAAGATGGAGACAGAGGGAGAACGAGTCGATATAGATTAAGATAAGAGGAGATCTCTTTATTGTTATGTAAACACTGTTGTTCAGTGCAGGTTCTAAACCAGACAGAAACACTTGTGTTTGTTTCCCTCCAATAGTTCCCAAGCCTCCAGACTGGACAGTGCTGATTGCAACGGTTGTGTCCATCGGAGGATTCGCTCTGCTGGTTTTACTCATCATAGGAATCATCTTCTGCTACAAACGCAGGAAAGAAAAACGTGAGTATGTGTAGCAAAATCCCCACCTGTCAAGAAAATGGAAACTACCAAAATACAAGATTGTGTAAAAGAAATGGAAGCCTGTGCAGAAATGCTTAAACTGTATTATTTCTAGTGGCCAGCAGGGGGCAACCTCACTTATTTAATCTAGAAATGTGTTTGTATGGAAACGGGTGAAAATTCCTCGGCTTCTCAGTTGAATATTTACCTGAGTAAACATTTCCTAATGCGTTTATGGTCTCAGTCAGTCTTCTTCAATGCACCATGATGCTCGCTGTTGTGCAATTGATGGTCCAAATTAGAGTCTTTTTACAGGGTGTGGCTGATCTGTTAATGACAATTTCTTAACCCAGCAACCTTTGAAGTAGATTTCTAATGTGCAGTCCATGTTTTCCTCAGCTCATAGATATATAAATCACATTTACATGAACTAATGTGTTATGTAAAATCCTCTCTAGAGCCCAACTATCGAGATGAAGTGAGGTGAGAATGATGAATACTCTTCTTAACATCACGTTCTTCTACAGCCTTCTACACGCAGTAATACTGACTGTCATCATGTGTGTGTGTGTGTGTAACAGGAGGGTGAGAACACAGAGTCAGTTAAGTGCTGTCACTGCAGTCGGACGGGGTCAGGTGAACGCAGGTTACGTGAAGGATGGTCAAACAAGTAAGACAACAAACATATGCACGAATACAAACAAGCTTCAGATGACAGAAATAGACGTATCGATACAAATCCATGATATACCTCTCTCTCTCTCTCTCTCGCTCGCTCTCTCTCTCTCTCTCTCTCTCTCTTTGTTCGCAGATGTTATTCCTAGCGACATCACTGACAGCAGTTTCTCACAGGCAAATGGCTCAAATTTTTGGAGGTATTCTTATCATGTTATACACAGGTGATAGTGATTGATATCTTTATGAAAAAATATGAACAGAATGATAAAAGGAACAGCAGTAGATCAGACTGTAGTTGACCTGGGTTGGGAACAGGAGGGTAAAGTATCAGTAGGAAGTTGGTCTGGTAGCTGGAGAGGGTGCCAGGTCAACTGCTGAGTACTGCTGAGGTGCTCATGAGCAAGGCAGCGAAACCTCAACAGCTCAGGCGCTCTTTCATGTACAGCCTCTCACTCCTCCGCCCTGACACCTCTCCACTAATGCAGGTCCTGTTTTTGTGAGAATCATATCTCTTAATAACAGAGTGAATTTCCCCTCAGAGATTAACGAAGTATGTACAATAAAAAAAAAAAAAACAATGAACAAGAAAAGCAATAGAAAATATGAAAAGTAAAACTAAACAAAAATATGAACTATTGTGGTCTTAAAGGGGACATATTATGAAAAATCCACTTTTACAGTGTTTTGAACATATATTTGGGTAACCTGAGTGTCTACTGACCCACAAAATGTGAAATAAATCCATCCAGTCCTTTGTTTGTGGTCTGCATAAGTCTTACAACACAGAGAAAAATGCTCTGTTTCTAATGTGCTCTCCTTGTGATGTCACAGTGGGATTCTGGTAAAAAAAAAAATCCCCTCCCCTTCCCTGGTATCTCCACCCCTGGACTCCACCCCCAGCCTAGAACAAAACTTTTGCGTAGGTCCGCCATTTTTATTCTCACTACAGAGGAGTGATGTCTACGGGGAAAACTCGAGGGCTGCATTTAAGAGACACACACACCAAAACGGAGCGTTCTGAGAGAGCTGGTTTCTACAGGGTCACAAACCTCATCTGGTGCTTGATTCATGTTATATTTTGACCAAAGCACAGCACAGATGTTTCATTTTTGTTTGAAAAGGTGGGAAAGGGGGATAATATGTTCTCTTTAATACTGGAAATTTAACTTTGATAGCATACTAGAAAAAAACAACTAACCATATAGATTCCTGTTCCAACACCAAAGCAAAAACAAAAATAGAATCGCTGGGCAAGCATAGCTGCTGGCAAATTCATCTTGGCGCTCACCTTCTTCACTCGCTCTCTGTATCATTCGCTGCAAAAGAGAGAAGGAGCAGCTTGGGTTTGAATATATGACTGTAGGTCTGTGTTCTTTCTAAAGCTTTGGTACTTTCTGTTGTTATATAAAAATTAGATTGTAGATTGTGTGGTATCAAAAATGTTACGTATTGGATATTTTGACCACCTAATATTCACTGTCAACACAAAGCAAACAGTACATGTTCAAAAAGAAGTATTTATATATACGCCTAAACAATCATCCATTTTTAATTACAGAGGGAAATACATGAATACACTAAGCAGCCTTCACAACCTAAACGTGTGATTTTCTTGAGTTTTTATTTTGAATTGTTCCAAAAATCCAGCACAAAGATTGTAATTCACTTACACCTTATTGTTGAGTGTGCACAGTTTCTTCATGTTTGGGTTAAATATGATGCAGCACTGTGCAACAAAAAGGGAGACAAGCATAAATATATATTTGTGACACAGACATTATGATTGATGGACGTTTGTTAAGTCTTTGATGTAATCCAGACATCCAGACTTCACCTGTGGGGTACACTTACAGACTCACAAGAAGGCATTTCAAGGGAGGCTGTCAGTGCTGATGGCTGTCCAAACCCAGCATTTAATTAGTCCAAACGAGGACTTAAATGGACTCTTTGCAGGCTTTCAGAGAGTCTGCTTTGGGTGCAGACTTCCCTGGACTATGACTGAATTACTCACAGTTCAATGTTTAATTTAACATTTCTCTCTATCTTATTGCAAAGTAAAAGTAAAAAAAGAAATATCGTCTTTCACAATGCATTTAAATGTTTCAGCGTTGTCTAATACTCGTGCGAGGCCATTTGGATTCAGCCTTTGTCCGGGTCTATTTCCCTTCTGGGCTGTCTGTCATAAGTTAGGGGGAATTGAAGGTCAGAAAAGGTTAAGTGTTATTTTTTTCTCGGGGGGGGGCAGGGAAGGGCAGAGAAAGATTTTCTGTTAACACCACAAATGTATCTGAGTCCCTTGAGAGCTGCAGCAAAGACAGGGCTGAAATAGTTTGCAAATTGTGGTTCTAGTGTGCACAGAGGATCCTGCAGGTCTGGAGTGGACGACACCGCTGCTTCTGTAACAAGGATGAACTTTTCCAACCGCATTTAAGGCTTGCAATTAATTTCATCATCCTGACGTGTTTGTGGTGTCTTTAAGTTAATAATGCTGGAACAAGACGATAATCCCAACATTGTTTTTTATTTTGACAAAAGAGAGGCAGGGTGTGTCTCAGACGGACGTTTAGGCCCAAGTTATAGATTATTGTTGCCTTCCCTGAGGTGGCTAGGCGATGAGGCGAGAAACAATAAATATAAAAACCAGGGAAAAAGGAGGAACTAAGGAAAGTCAAAATATACAAACAACTTAAGAGAAGCCTAAGAATCTTCAAAAACCTAAGCTACACAATGAACACCACGGTAACACTTCTGCAGAGGAGCAACAGGGAATCTTGCTGAATATTTGCCGCTGTGTTCACACATCGGCTCACCTTCACTTCATACTTCAAATTTTGCGATCTCAAGTTTAAAACAGTGTTCGCCTCTTCATGCCATTAGAATCAGAATCAGAATCAGAATCAGAATCAGAATCAGAATCAGAATCAGAGTTTATTGCCAAGTACATTTACACAAACAAGGAATTTGACTTGGTGTATTGGTGCTAAACAATTAACAAGGAAATAAAACAGAACTAGCAACAACTTAAATAATACCATATACGAAGCTATTACAATATATAAAATAGAATTTAAAAATGTAAAATATAAAAAAAAAAAACACAAAATGTACAAATGGTGTAATGTAGGAGCTGTGCAGTGGACTATGAGAAAAAAACTTAGTGTGTGTAACTACTCACAGAGTGCATGTAACAGAAAAATAGAGACGTTGACTTTTATGATTCACTTTGCGTCGCTCCTACAAATGAAATGAAGAAAACGAGCAGCCGTGTGAATATGTTACCTTAAATCATGAAGAGGTAAATCATTGTACGTGTCATTTATCAGGCGTGGTCACTGTGAATAATTCATCGCTTCACCATGAAACTAATTTATGTAATAAATGAGCATGCCTCTTAAACTAATATATTATTCAAGTCCACAATTACTGCCTTGTTATTCTACGATGATTGCCTTTTATGTGGCGCAATAAAGTTTCATAGTTTATGTGTTATATAAACTTTGATCTTAAATGGCACAGAGGGAATGGCGGGGGGAATTAATACCAGTCTGCACTGTTTGAACCGCAACCGAGAAAAATGTTTGAGAGGCCAATTAGATATATTTTGTTTCGTTTGTTTTTCAGATGCCTGATGTTGTGAACAGTAACCAGACAGGAAACGTCTTCTGTCTCTCGGGTACTGTGGATGAATCAGGCTTCAAGAAACACAGACATGTCACCATTGTGTGAGCTGCACACAGCCTGCAAACACATGAGCTCAGCACTGCACTTTGACGCTTCACTGCTTCGTTTCTGAAGGTGAAAGAAAGGTGTGAGGAGGGAGTGACTCTGTCCACACCAAAGACCGATGCACTGCAGTCAGACGAGGAAGAGATATAAAAACAGGACATGTTTTTTTTTTTAATTCGCTGACTGTTAGAAGCTGTATCAGCAGAATACAACATTTTGAAATCATAGAAACGTGTAATGAAAACACGTTAAGATTGCAAAACATCTATGGGCTTTTTTTGTATTTCTCGGGCTTTTTGAAAGTGCTACAGTCATCATCTGCTGCGGTTGCAGTCGCAGCCTTATCACAGAGCAAACCAAAGTGAGCATAATTAACAGTTTAATGACCGCTGGAGCAGCATTTGAGGCTGAACCAGCATAAACTGTTCCACTTATTGGACACAGGCTGTTTTTTTTGTTTGATGACTACGTGTTTCTGTTTTTTTACTAAGCCATATCTATTTATTGAGGCATTATGTAACTCAAATTAAATATTCAAAGGGGGGCAATCTGAAACCTCTTTTGTTCGCCAGCATCTGAAAATGTCCTCAAATTTAATCCCCTCTTAAATGTAATGCTGATGGCGACTGCTCTTTGATCAGTGGCCTATTTCTTACATTTTTAAATTATTTGAACTAATAAAACCTTTTCATATACAAAAGTAAATGTGCCAGTTTGTCAAAGAGTCTCCATGAAGAACATGTCATATGCATTAGAGGAATAAAATCATTTTAATTAGTCATTTATGAGTTTATTTCTGCACAGCCGTTACACACACAGTGCATACATGTCAAACTACTAAATAACTCGAGTTTGTTAGATCTCTGGATTTATTCACCTCAGAGTCAGATTTTTGATTTATTTGATGATACTTTATAATAATAATAATGATAATATATTTTATTTATAAAGCACTTTTAAAAAACTCACAGACACTGTTAGATAAAAAAGAGATAAGGATCAGAACAGTAAGGACAAACTAACAAACATTACAACATTACACACAGGTCACAAAAACATCAGCATATAAGCTACAGATAAACAGAACACACAATCATACTTTAAAAGCTTGTTTGAAAAGGTGAGTTTTGATCAGTGATTTGAATGTGGACGGGTCAGTGCAGTGTTGAATGTGTGTGGGGAGTTCCAGAGGGAGGGGGGCAGCTATGGAGAAGGTTCTGCCCCCCCAGGTTTGGTGCTTGGTTCTAAGTGAGGGAGACAGGAGGTTGGCGTTGGAAGAACAGAGGCTGTGTGAAGGAGTGTGAGGGTGGAGGAGAGGGGGCCTGGTGGTTGAGGGCTTTATGTGTGAGGAGAAGGATTTTAAATTGGATGCGGTATGGGACAGGGAGCCAGTGGAGATTTTGCAGGACAGGGGTGATGTGATCACGGGTTTGGGATTGGGTGAGAAGGCGTGCAGCAGATGTTATCTCTATGATGGGGATGCAAATTTAAAGACATCATTGTTTTGTTTTTTTAGCAGTGCTGGTTAGTTATTTGCAGGAGGAGGAACATGGATGAGATGCACCGTGAAACAGTTCTAAACCAAAGTGTCTTACTGACAGCAAAGTAATGTGTTGGAAATGTTTCTAAATATAACATACCCTTTCACTGACAATGACTTTACTTTGTTTTTTCTTAAAATCTGGACCAGCTCACAAGGCCAAACACATACACTTATCATTATCACCACATTACCTGACTTCAATATATCAGGAAAAAACAATTTGGTCAGAACCAAAATGATATTTTCACAATCAGTTGGAGGCTTTTTCTGGGACCAGCCTTGATCCTAATTTGGAGCTTGTTAAAAGCAGTTCAACGTATATGCTGTCTTATGCACCGTCGCCCCCTACTCGGACTGACCTGATCTGCTTTAACCAAACCTATTTGGAGTAGTTACACATACTTCACACACGAACCATCTGCAGCTGTTTGCAACATCTGGGAAAGGGAACATCCAGACCTAATTCTTCACACAATGTCCACCGTTTTATACAGAGAAATTTCAATGTAAGTTGTTGCTCAGAAGTTTTTAGATTTTCTTCTAACCTTGATTTTTTTTTGGAATAATGCGCTTACACAACGCAAGTTACAGCTACTCGTTCACACACTGATAGTAGAGGCTGCTGTGTAAAGTGACCATCAGCAGAGGCGCTGCTTGTCAACAAGCAAGGTAGGCAACTGCTTTGGGCCCCAGACCAGTAGTGGGGCCCTGATGGCTCAGAAACTTTTAACCACAGCAGTCACTTAAATTGTGCAAACTTTGCAATGACAGAAGGAAACCTCCCAAAGGAGCCCCATCTGACAGCGCTCAATCTTGTTGCCTTGCTAAGCGTTGCATGCACGATTGCTGTGAAAACCAAAGTTTGTCCATGAAAGTCAACCAATAAAAATTACGATAAATTATCCGTCTATAGGAGAGAAAACAGAAACAGGAAAGAAGAGGAAGAGGAGTAATCGTCGGGACAATGGCAGACATAATGGGGATAAATGCGAGTTGTAGGGCCCCCAATTATTTCCTGCCTGGGGCCTCAACAGACTCTAGAATCGCCTCTGGCCATCAGGGTTAGCTGATTCCGTTCATACACATTCACACGCTGCCCATGAAGCAATTTGGGGTTAAATTTTTTGCCCAAGGACACAACGGACATGTGGTTGCAGGAGCTGGGGATCAAACCCCTGACCTTCCAGTTGAGAGACAACCAACTCTACCACTGAGCCACAGCTGCACAAATAAATGAATGGTGAGTTTAGAGAATGACTCAAATAAAGCCTTTGCCTTTAAATTAAGTTTTAAGGTATTTAAGTGACATAAGAACACCTCATTCAATCTGCACTAGTTTTATAATTCGGTAAAAGTCCTTCAGTTTCAGAAGTCTTATTTAGCCGACGTTGCAGGGTCACATGTCGACATTACTTCAATTAAAGGAGTCACAAACTGGCTGGAAACCACTGATGTAGCACAGCACAAATATATCTAGTATGGAAAGGCACTTTATTCTCTAATGTACCTGAGCATTGCAGATTCCGAGGGAGCAGTCAGCATGCTCTGTGAGTTGCTGAGCCAGCTGAACTCAGGTGACCTCTGCTTGGCCGGGAAACAAATGAAGCTCGACTTGTTGGCCGAGAAGCAACAGCAGGAAGCAAACTGACCCAGGATGATTTCTGAGAGTGGATACAGGCCAGCAATGGCATCACTTACCGTGGATCTATTAGGTGATAACACAGAGCTCACTGTGCTGTGGCAGGGCTCCACATTATCAGGCCTGGATAATTACAGGTTTAATTTAATTCTTGATTGGATTTAATGAGAGCCTGAGTGGAGGTTTGGAGGGCCCTGACTGTTGGTTATAAGTTTGTGAATGAATGACTCTGTGTACACAAGTCGTAGAAGCCATGAGTCTTACGTTCGACTAGTCAGCGGATTCATGATTCCCAGAAGTTCCTCTAGTTGCTGCTGCTCCATCACTCTGACTGTCCATTTACATAAAGCTTACCAAGGAGCAAAATCCCTTTTCTCACAGACTGATCACAGACCTCATGGCTATGAGACGGCGACTTCTATATCAGTTAATCTTTAGGTGCTTTTACACAGACGGTCTGTATTTGATTAAAATAGTATCCCTCTAGAGCTGATGTCAGAGCTTCATATAACATTCACTCTTCAAAGACACTGTTATTGCGAACAAAAGAGCAAGAAACATTCCTGACTTATATTCATGTCCCAGCCCATCATGTGATACAGCAGCTTCTCAATGAGACGTCGTTGGTTCGACATTTGATGTCAATTGAATTCTGTATGCCATCCTGTAAAGCTTATTCTTTTAATATACCATTGAAGTAACTTGACCTGGTCTAAAGAGTGTGAAAGTCTCTCATCCATAGACTCCCTCCTGCCCACTATGCTTGGCCAATGAACGGCGTCTGATCCAACCTTCAGAACAGGGTCCTTAGGCTACATTCATGTGCGCCTCGGATGGTCCCGGTTCCCGAGTTGGGAAGTCAGGCACCTAATTCTTTCCTGAGTTTCCGAGTTGTTGTTCAGACTTGAGCAGGCGTTCCTTGTGCCTTTTACTCGTAAACTCATTGTTTCCGATGTGTCCAGCACTGCGTGAATGCAGGGATATTCTCTAGCTAGACTCCTCCCCTCTGTCACCCCCTGGTGGTGGAACAAACTACCACACTCCAGTCGATCTGCAGAGTTCACTTTGCACCTTTAAGAAAAAGCTAAAGACACAGCACCTTCATGAACACCTAAGTACTTAATAACATTGATGACGATGATATTTAGGATGGTTTTGATGCTGATTAGAGCTCTCAAGAACAGCTGTTGATGTTGTGCTCTGCCTCTGGTCACTTCCTGTCTTCACCTGTGTGTCCGATCGGACTTAAAGCTGATCGTTTGCACTTCCTGACGTAGTCTCCTCCTCTCTAGATCCTTGCTTGTGTTGTTCTGATTCTCTGATGTTCGTCACTTTGGATAAAAGCGTCTGATAAATGAATTGTAGAATTATAGAAAGTCAGCTTGGAGTCAGGGGTTTGATTCCTGGCTGAAATAAATAGTAATTATTTTTTTAAGATTGATTTTTTTGGCTTTTTTTGTATGCAGTAGGCGGTTTCGAAAAACAGCCTACGTCTGTGCTTTCCCAGGTCCAGCTTGCTACTGCAGAGAGAGAGAAGAGCAATCAGCCAATAGAGATCACCTGTGCAAATTAACACTGGCACTGCTCTCCCAAGCCACTCTCTCCCAAGATGAGCCTCACCAACACCCCACTACCACAGTCAAAAAAGTAGATTCATGGAGCGCTGCATGGGTGTGGAAAATTATAAAAAAAATACTTTCAAGACTCTTAATATCAGATACGATCACATACCAAGCAGTCTGCAATAATTACAAGCTGATAAAGGACCACAGATAATAGAGGTTCTGTTAATATGGATACAGATCTGTCTTTTCTTAAAGTGGAGTCTTTGAGTAGATTCTGAAATGTTCCCAGTGACATGAGAACCCGTTTTCTATGTTTTATATTATTATTAATGAAAAATGATCCAAATAACCCTTGTAAGAATGACTGTGTGGAAAAACCAAAGGAAGTAATCAGCCGAATGGACTCCAATTACAGATGAAAGTAATATTAATAGTTATTTATGAAACCTGCTTCACAGCAAGCTGGGTAAGAGGCCGGGCATGAGCACAACAAACAGTTTGCAGCTCTGTAGTTATTCACACTGTAGGCATTACTGTCACTCTGTTCAGTGTGTCTGTTTGCTGACTAATGACAGGCGTGGTGCACTGTAGGCTATGGCTGTTGTCAGTGTGTTGACAGAAGGTGAGGCTGCAGTGAGACTTGAGCACGTCTCTGGAACCCAACACTAAATCTTTTTCCCTGCTCTGTTTGTTTCCGCACTGTAGATCAAGTTTAGCGGCAGCAGTGATGGCCTCCGTGTAGCTTGGTTTACACAGGATAAAAGCAAATATATGATAGAAGACACAGCTGTGTTTTAGTTTTTATTCTTGATACGAACAGTGAGTGATAGAACTGCAGTTTGCTGTCCAAGTTGTTTATCTCTTTGTCACAATCCACAGTATGTAATTTGATCATGCAGAACAAACAAGGCTCTCCAGGTCTGACAGTGACTAATGCACAGGTGGCATAAAGTAGTGTTCATACACACGTCTGAAAAGCACTAATCACAACTAATTTGATCTACCACAGATAATAGATGGATGAATTGACAGAT